GCACACAGAGATTTAGAAACTTATTCAAGGTCACACAGCTAGTATGTACCAGAGCAAAGAGACCCCACGATTTCCACCACCCTGGACTGTCTCTTCATAATTACTACTAACAATGCCTGTCATAGGCCTTTCTATGGGTCAGGCACTTTTTGTAACAGCTTTTTGAGATATAATTCACATGTCATACAATTCACTCATTTAGAGCGTGGAATTCAAGGGCTTTTAATTATATGCATAGAGTTGTGTAACTACTACCACAATCGATTTTAACACATTTCATCACCCCATAAAGATACCCCATCAATCCTCAACTCTTCCCATTGTAATCCCATTTTTAAGACAAAAGGACTGAGGCTCAGAGAGCTTCTGCGATTTGCACAACATGAAGCAGAAGTAAGAAACAGGACTGAGACTAGCCTCCCCTGACCCCTGGCAGGAGGTGTGGGGAGGGACCAGTGTATCCTATTAAAAATGCACCATGTGCAGAGGGTGGAAAATGGAACCAGATGGGGACAAACCTTACACATGCAGCTGCTTCTGCGCCAGGCCTGTGACTCACAGCGGCAGTGCAGCCAAGCTCCTATCACCCCAGCACAGGGCGGCAAGGCCCAGGACTCAGGCAGGCAGGGAAGCAGCCTTTCAGGAGGCTGGCAGTCCGGGGTCTAGATGGGCACAGTGAGCACACGTCCCCACCAAGAAACAGGTGACCAACTCTACTCACCCTATTCCTGCACCCCTTACCCTTCTAGGACCCACAAAAAACTGGGTCCCACCCCAGGCCTCCATGTTCCTCCCAGCAATTCAGAGGCACAATCGCTAGTAGAGGGTTTGTTCTGCACCTGGCCCCCAGCCAGGGTTCCTACCCAGGTCCTCCCTGCCCATAGGCCCTCAAAGTTTGGAAGGACTGCTGCAATGACCAGCTGGGCTCCAGAGGAAGACTCTGAAGAATGCTGCATCGAGTTGCTGCTGCTGCCTGGGCACATTCTCAGTCTGGAACCCTAGGGCCCAACAACTACCCTTGACCCCAGAAGAAACACTGCAGGTAGGACTAGGCTTCCCTACATCCCTTATTGCCATCTTCCAAATATCCTCAAGCCTGCCTAAGTCAGTCGTTCTCTCTGCAGGCCAGGGGCCCAGCATTTCCTTCCTTGTCTATAATGTTTGAAGAGTCTTGAGCCAATGCCACCTCCTCCAGGGAGCCTGCTTGGATGCCCTAACCAAAATAAATGGGTCCTTCTGCTGCTGCCTCATACAGGGTTTTAATTTGTCAGCTTTTACATGTGGGTGCCTACTAGCCTACAAATTCATCCAGGGCAGGGGTCCTGGTTTCCTCATTCCTGGGTCCCTCCTGACCCCCTCCTCAAGCTATGACACACCAGGCCCTCCAGAAGAACAAGTGGGAAGTGAGGTAAAGGGCCCATTGCTTAGTTCTAGGAATGAATTAACCACAATACAAAGAACCCTGCCAGTGTCTGTCCCAAGTGCCCAAAGGTGAGTGACTACATGGACAGCAGGAGAATCGAAAGGGGGTGATGGCCTCCATTGCAGGTTCCCGCTGGAAATGAGGATTGAGCCACAGGTTTAGAGATGGCGCTTCTCACCACAGCAGCTAAGATATGCCAAATGGCTGCAAGGCTGGGTCCACACAGACAGGGTTTTGTTCAGACCATCTTAAAATAGGCAGGTTTGCTGGGCACGAGGGCCAACCTCAGGACTGGTGTCTTTCCTCTCTGCATCTGCAGCCCAGCCCAGGCTTAGCATGGAGCAGGACCCAGGACTGACCAGGGAGGGAGGATTCGACTATGGGTTTACAGGGGCCTGGCTTCAAACTTCTCCAACAAGCCCTGTCTTATGTCATAAAGCACCAATGCCAGAGCTGAAAGAGGAGCTGAGGCCATCCATTTCAGCCTCTGTGATACACCTAGGAGGCAAGTCAGGCCCTGAGAATGAAGGCAGCTTACCCAGGGTCAAACAGCATATCTTCCAATTCCCAGCCCAGAGTCTTTTCAGGTAATAGGCTCCCACATCCCTGGCCCAGGACCCCTCTCCTATCCTGCCCTTTCTTCAAAGTCAGACCAAGGCCCACCCGCCCAGCACATCTTCTTAGACCCCCTCCCTGGCCTCATCCAGCATGGTGCTCCCTAGTTTGATTGCTCGAGCTCTCCCTCTGCCCAGAATGTGTGCCCCACCCTTTGACCCTAGCAAATTTCTACTCATCCTTCAAGGCCTAGTTCAAATACCATTTTATGACACCATAGATAGTAATTGCTCCCATTTACTGAGTAACCATGCCCACTGTGTTCTGGAAAACCAACAAAGTAACGTTAAAACTATTTGTGAGGTCCCTCCTGCTTGACACCCAAGTTTCTTGAGGGCAGGAACCTGACTACAAAGCAGGGTACTAACGATATTTGCCTACACAGCACACAAGACTGAAGGGCTTTTCAAGCTACAAAGTCCTGTGCTATTGGAAGCTACCTGCATTATCTTCAGATCTCCTCCCCATGGCTCAGTTTCCTCATCTACACAATGGGTGAAGTTAATGAATGCACGTGACGACGGTATGTGTGCTGTGACAGTATGCATGCTGTGCCTGTGCCATGGTAAGTACTTGTTCCTGTTATTGTTATTATTTGTGTCATTTTCATTTTCTTACATTTCCCTGTGGACCTTGCTCATGGCCAGTGTTCTGTATACACACATACACACACACACACACACACACACACACACACACACACACGCATATTTTTTTTGGAATGAATGACTTTGGCATTTGAGATACTGAAGAAGACAAGGTTAAAATCCAGAGACGAAACGAAGATGCAGAGTTAAATCTTATCATCAGACATTCTGCACTGTAGCCGTCAAGTCCAAAGGTGGCTCAGCTGGGTCACTGTAAACAGCCACTCACCCTCATGAGACACAGGGCAGTTTTCTGGAATGGGCCGGAAGTGAGGAAATCTCTGCCCTAGGGAGGCCTCTGTGCTGGGCTGTGGCCTAGACAGGGACCTAGACAGGGAGGCCCCTCAGAGCTGGACTTAGGAACTGGCCTCTGGAGACAGTCAAAGGCACAAGCAGTGGCCTAGTATAAACAGGGACCCAGCCCAACCCTCAGTCTGTGAGGCCCACTTCTACCCCTCACCAACAGCAGGGGGACCCCGGCAAACCTCAGTTCCACTGCAGAAGAGGCCTCCAGAAGCCCATCCATGGGACAGCCTCTGAGACCTGATCTCCTTCTGCAAATGTCACACGGAGTTGATTTCCATCTACCAGGTAGCATCAAATACAGCCCCTCTTTGGGCAAATGAGAAGAGTAAAGCCTAGAGATGGAGAGTGACTTGCCCAGGTCACACTGCTGAGAACATTTACTCAGAGGCCACCAAAAGTCAGCAATATCGGCTGAGTAATGCCAGGCCCCAAGTCCACTGAGCAGCCTCCCGGCACCCTCAACCAAAATGTAGCTTGTCACTGTGAATACCGCACTCTGCGTCCATGTGACCTTGCTTCACGGGTGCTGGGTCAGAGTCCTTTGTTGCCCTGACCCCTGCATCATCTAATAGTCGGTGACCATTTATCGACAGGCTGCAGAGTTAGTTCAATGACAAGGAGGTTTTCAGGGTGCGAAGGGTATGGACAATTCATTATTAACAGTAATGACTGTTCTGACATCTATGTTTAGGTTCCCAGTGTACATTTACGGAGGCAGTCAAAGAAGTGGGAGGCCCAACCCTGTCACTGCACAGCCGACAGTCTACGTGGCTGATGACTTTAGAAGGAGTTCACCATGTCGTGCAGCCAAGCCGGTTGGCACCGGCGCCTTCTGTCTCTCCAGCTGCACAGACACTCAATCCCTGGGTGATTCTAGACATCACCTTGGATTTTCAACCAAAACTTGTAGCCACAGCATAGTGCTAGCCAGCAGGCCGACTGAGGGCTCCTGCGGCACGGAAATGCTGAGCCAGGGCGGGCTGGCAGCCAAGGCTCACCCTGGCATCAGGACAAGGTCTTAGCTTTCTCCAGCTGTCCTTATAACCTGGGTTTCTCAAAGTCTGCTCCACAGAACCCTTGCATTACAGGCGATTCCAGTGCATGCTCAACTCTGAGAACCAATCACTGCCTAAACCATGCCTCTTAGTGAGGGCCTTATCACCTCCAATGGGGCAAAACTGGTTCTTTGGAAGGCAAAAAATTTAGTCTTTTTACATATAAAGCACATATATATATATATATATATGGAGGAGGGAGTAGGTCCTAAGAAAGAGAACTCGCAGAGCAGAGCATCAGAAGGAGCAGGCTGGATTCAGGGCCAGAGGCAGTGGGGAAGGTAAAAGTAAAAAAAAATAATAGTGGCTAACACCAATGGGCCTTGTATGTGCCAGGCAGGTGCCAACCACCAACCATGCTGCCCAGTGAAGTAGGTCATATGATCATCACAGCCCGTCACCTCCATAAGGGAGGGCCAGGATCATGTCTGCCTCAGGCCTTGCCATAGCCCCCAGAGCTTGAACAGTACTGGGCATACAGAACACGCACAGTAAATGTGTGCAGAATAAATAAGTCCTCGCTTCATACCTAAGGCAAAGAACCACAGGGAGGATAAGAAACTTGTCCAAAGCCTCATGGGTAGTGATTGGCACAGCCAGGAGTCAACCCCAGCAGAGCCCACCTTTCTCACCTCTGCATGTGTCGGGGCTCAGAGATCCCTGCCAGGTAAGATGTGGTCCCAGTGTGTCCGCAGATGGTAAGGGGATGAACAAGATAAGGCACCATACTAACTTGATCACTTCACACCTGACAGAGCATGAACCTGATGGCCAGCAGAGCATACAGGGTTCTCTCTGGAAAGCAGCACAGCCCCTGACTTGGCCCAGACCCCACGATGTGCTCACAGGAGTTCCAAACACAGGACACCAAAGAGGAACCAAGTCAGCCTGACTCAGGTCGCCAGGGACTGGGGTGAGGGCAAAATGAAGCTTGAGGGAAGGCTGGTTTCTTACCAATCCATCACAGTTGCTGATGGCGACAGCTGCCCCTGGCATGCCTGTGACACCCCCAGTGAAGACACACTCTCGCTGCAAGGGCTGTCGGAAGAGTTCCCGAAAGTCCTCCTGCCACTCCACTGATGCTCCAGGTACCACCAGCCGCTGGTTGGGCTGCAGGCGCAAGTGCAGCTCCTCCCCAAAAACAGTAACATTGAAGTAGAGGGTATAGCGCCCCACCCTGCCAGGCTGCGGGGTCACTCCTTCCGGGTGAAGGGGACTGCGAGCCACCCGGAGATGACCAGAGTGTGATGGTGATGCAGGTGGCCTGTCCACTGCCACACCCCCTGCAGAGGCTGCTGCTGGGCCAGATACCACATGGGACAGGAAGTGTCCCTGAAAGTCTGTGCTGCACGGCACTGTCACACCATAGTCACTGAACTTTCTGGAGAAGTGTATTTCTGCTGGAGGAAAACAAAGTTATGTCAGTACAGGCTGTGTAGAGGTGAGGGTTAGCCGAAATCCCATGGGGGCAGAGAGGGGTCTACAACCCTGAGTGTCAACTTGGAGGGACCCCTTAGCCCAAGTTCGCCCATTCCCTATCCATTGCTTCCCGAGCCCCTGTATCTCTGCACTCGGATGAACAGTGTTCAAGTACTCGGTAAACATAATTGTTCCCCGGAGTTCCCAGGTCCTTTTTAAACTTAGCAGAAGAAAAGAAAATGATGCCAAACAGAATTCTGTCACTCTAGCAACAAGCCTTCCAACTGTGGGCACTGCTGAAGAAAGGACTAAAATTCTCCGGAAGCCCCCAGGACAAAGAGAGGGAAGGCAGGATCTACCCAAATGTCCCCAATGTGCTGAAGTCACCAACCCAGCCTGGGGTTAGGCCCTCCTCACTATGTTCCCAGAACACAGCTGGCACAACAAACACACCTAGAAACCCAGGGGATCCTGGGCACGTGTCAAGGAGAAAGGAGGAGCTGGAGAAGGAAGGGAGGGAATACAGGTTCTATATTTTTCCAAGTTTAGAAAGTAAACTTTTTTAAGCAGCGCAGTGGCTGCCGAGTTTCTACATGGCCCGGCCCCAAGCTGGGTAAATATAGATCTTCAAAAATAAAAAAAGACGCATGGGGTGACCTGCCCACTCGGACTGAATTAAGTGTGAGGTCATGGCCCCACGCTGCAGGCTGCACGCCAGCAGCCCCGTCCTCACACAGCTCTCCCTGAGCTCAGGCCAGGCCAGGCAGGAATGACAGCTCCCTGGCTTCCAGGCCTGGTGATTCATGGATGTGAGTTTGAGAGGAATCCTCATTTCCACAAGGCTCTATCTCTTGTCTCCCCAGCCTCTTTCACAGCACTGATAAAACCTGAAAAAATGATGTGTCCTGAAAATCCCCCATGCCCAAGGCAGTTAAGAGTACTAACTCTCCTCTGGTTTACCCATTATAGCAAAGGAATCCCCAAGACTTCAGCTAAAGGGATCTGTTTTGGTACATGAACAGAGCTCACAGACAAGCAGCCACCCTGCCTGGAAATGACCGGAGCCACCTCCCCATGCTCAGAGCCACCAGGAGAGCACCCCATGCTGCAGAGTGAAGGTGGAGTATGTCTGGTCTGTGTGTGGCAAGGTGAATGCACAGAGCGTGACAATGCTAGGAAGAGGAATGTGTTTCTGTGGAGTGTGAATGTTTCATGTTCGCTGGGGTTTGGGGCAACCACCTGTCAGCTTGCTTCCGCGTGTGTGACAGCCAGACAGACACATGCACATACGTACGCACACGCGTGCACACATGCATACAAGTTGGAGACAGAAAAGACGCTGAAAGAGAAAAACATGCCGGGGTGGAAGAGAGAGAAACAAACACACAGACAGATGAACAGCACCTAAGAAGAGGCTCTGTGTTCCCAAATCTTCGCCTGGGGTCTCTCTCTACATCTTGTGCCAGAAAGGGAGAAAACTCGCGCGACAGCGTCGGTAGCACAAGGGAAAGAAAAGAGCTCAGCCCCAGTGTGCGCGCCGCCTCCCACCCGCTCCAAGGCTGCCAGGGTCCACCCGCACCGTCCGACCACTCTGACCTGCTGGCACCCCGGGCCCCACGCGCTCCTGCGCCTCTGACCCGCACGCACCTGGGGTCGGGCTGCCCGCGGCGTCGCAGAGCGCACAGTGCAGGGGGAGCAAGCAAGACAGCAGCGCGCGGAGCGGAGCCATGTGGCCGCGCAGGGACGCGGGCCGGGCAGGAACCCGAGCTCCGTGCTCCGGGCTGCGGGAGAGGCTGGGGCGCTCCAGGGGCTGCCCAAACGCCGGCCAGTCGGCCTCTGCCGCCTCCCCCCGCCTCATCGCCTCCCTCCCTCGCGCTCCAGGTCCCCCGAGCCGGGCCGCCGCCTGGACTGTTGGCTCTGGGCGCCCGAGGCTGCCGGCGGGAGAGCGGAGCAGCCGACGTGCCAGCGCCCCCGGTGCCAACTGTCGAC